AAAAAAAAAAAAAAAAAAAGAATAACAGATAAAAAATAGTAAATAAAAAACTACCCGCATAAAGTAGTCTTCTGGCAATATATCACAGGTATGTGATTAAAAGATAATGAAATAACGATACGTCGATCGTGGACATATTTTAATGTGTCCATAGTAGATAGGTGATTAGTTGAACAAATATGCTTAGTTTATGTTTTATATTTGAGTGAAATCAAATAAACTTATTATATTCATAAAATTATATTAGTGTTATTTAGGTAATCAAAGAATATGATAAGTTTATTTGATGTATATAGAAGGTTGACTCCACTATGGAGCCAACTGTTGGCTCCATAGCAAAACCAGTGAACGACATATATAGTTGTAGCTTAATGTAACAAATAAATGCTAGCTAGGTGAAATTATATATAGATAGATATCCAATTTAAGAAAGTTAGTACTAGAATAGCATATATAAAATTTTTGAAGCTATTAATGGACCGGACAGTTACTTAGAAATATACCATACATGATTAAAAGATATTTTAGAATCAAAATTGATATCCATAATCCACAACACATACAATATTCAGTGTGAGCATATATACTTTGCTACAAAGCACATTTACTTACATCTCCACACACACCACACGTCATCACTTGAAGCAAAGCATTCCCCCCTTTTAAAAGTAAGACATGCATATTATTTATACATAACATACATTCATACAAAAATAAGGATTGATTTCAAACAAAGTTTTTAGTGCTTCTACTAATGAAAGAAAGAGGCTATTTACTTTAGCCCAAATCAAAGGTTAAATTTTTAATTAAAAAATTAAAATACTTTTTTTTTTTTTTTTCNTATATGGTATTCTCACACTTACATATGAAAATTGAATTTAAAATAAAACACAGACACAAAAATTTGATATTCAACTTCATCATGATTGCAACAAAGAATGTACTATGATTACACAATATAATTATACTATTAATATATCACAGGATCGCATATTATCACTCAATAACATCACACATATATTCAACATTTGAATGCTAGGTCCAAAAAACTTTCTCATTATATTGGACTAAAAAGATATACCTATTAAAACTTTATTGAAACTCTCTTTTCCCAAATCCATATTATCCTCACCCTGTCGTCTAATTAAAGTTTCCCAATCTCAGGTCACCCTTCTCTACACTCCATACTTTCCTTCACACTCTCCCTAAACTATGTTAGTAAAATCGATAGTAAATTAGAAATAGAATAATATAGGAAAAACCACCTGTATGGGTCCTACACCCCACGAGGCCCTTTCCCAATTTTCCACAAACCCCTCTTATTTTTCACCGTTCTTCAGTTCTTCTTCTTCTTCTTCTTCATAGCTTCTAATCTCAATATTATTATACCTTCATTCATTATTTTCCCTCACTATATATACACACAAACACACAGTCACACACACACACACACATATAAACAAATATTAGATAAGTCCATTTCAGCCATAGCCATGGCTGCAAGTATGAAAAGCTATTCCACTCTCCTCCTCTGTATTTTACCGTCTTTTTTCTACTTCGCGAGTAAGTCCAATCGGCCCTTCA